TGATATCTCCTGCGGAGGCAGGAGGAAGAAGTCTAGGGTCAGCTCTTTCTGTGCCCCTCGGTCCTTCCTGCAGTCACTGCTAGTCAGGAGGGCAAGCAGGTGGTCCCTCTGCCCTTCAGGAGTGCCCTTCTTTTGGCATGCCTTTCCCCTTCCTTAATTTCAGAATCGTAAAACTTGTGGACCCCTTGTGTTGGAGAACAGGGCCCACTGATGACTCTTAGCACCCGTTGAGAGGCTGCCATCCTCTGAGAGTTCCTCGGGGGAGGCCAAGCTGCAGCTCACCCAGGCACATCTGATGTTCAGTGGTAGCGAGCTATGTGCAGACCCAAAGAAGCCATAGAGTCTGGGTCCCGTCAAGTGACAGGGTACATGGTGTTGGCATTCATTTCAGGCATTAATTCAAGTTGGCTCTATGACTTTTCTTCCCTTTGGGGAGTGAGTTTTTTTTCTTTTTCTTTTTTATGTTTTGGGAGTGATAAAACTAAACCGCTTATGCAAGCAGTGACATGGGACTCCAGTCCAAAGCTGCTGCTCTCTCTTCTCCGCTCACAAAAAATAATTCACATAAAAACTGTTCTCTGGCCAAGGCTTGTCCCCTCCTCAGCAGGGGACTTGCTTTTTTTTGTTGACTTCAGCACAAATTCAGATTTCTCTCTCCAGATTTTGGGGTGTGTCTCTATATCCCTTGGGGACCTTTGTTTAGACCCAGGCATACTTGAGGCCTCTCTGCTTTCTTTCTCCTCAAGCCTAATAATCCAACTATGAGGGTTTAGGGAGGCAGCTGCCTTTCTGAATTCATTTGTATGCATTAAACCCATGCATTCATACCTGGGATGAGAGACATGTCAGACGGAGTCCCAGGGCAGCTGCCTGTCACCAAGGACCTGGGTAGCCTCATCCTGAGATGCGACCTAGTACGATGTGATTGAGCCTCAGTTTCTTTATCTGCAAACTGGGGTTTGGAAACGATATCTGCTAAGTGCCAGCAGAAGCAAGGGCACACAACTGGTCCTCAAGGCTTGGCACCTGCATGCTGAAGATGACTGTGGTGAGCAGTGTGAGCGGGTGGAGGGAGCCTGGGTCTTCAGACAGGATTGGCTGTGGAGTGGGACGGAGGAAGTACTCATCGTGTGTTCACACCAGCCAGCTGCCCCTGAGGTGCTTTTCTCAGTGGTCTGGGGGGGTGGGGAGGTGCATTTACGAAGTCACCCACATGTGGATACATGAAACAGTTGCACCCTCCTCCTCACCTCTGTCTGTGTTATCCAGTCCTTCAGTCTCTGCAGGAAGCAAAGGTGAGAACTTCCATTTTCTTCCCTGCTCTGCAGAAAAATTCTGCCGAGGCTGGTGCTATAAATATGAGTATAATTTTTCTTTTTCTTCTTCTTCTTCTTCTTCTTCTTCTTCTTCTTCTTCTTCTTCTTCTTCTTCTTCTCCTCCTCCTCCTCCTCCTCCTCCTCCTCCTCCTCCTCCTTCTCCTCCTCCTCTTCTTCTTCTTCTTTTTTTTGAGACAGGGTTTATCTGTATAACACTTCTAGCTGTCCTGGAACTAGCTCTGTAGACCAGGCTGTCCTCGAACTCACATAGATTCACTTGCCTCTCCTCCTGAGCACTGGGATTAAAGCATTGTGCCACCACCACCCAGTGAGTCTATTTATTCTTCTCCCAGGCCTCGTGCAAGGTAGGGGGCCTAGGAGGCCTCATCTGGTTTTGAGTTCAGACTCCTACTCTCTAACCACATAGTTATCTGTACCTGGACTCCTCTTCAAGTTAAAACATTCATATTTGTGTGTGTGTGTGTGTGTGTGTGTGTGCCTACGAAAGCACCCCCCCCCACCCTATGTCATAGTGCACATGCGGACATCAGAGGACATCTTTAGGACTTGGTTCTCTGCTTCCACCAGGAGGGTCCCAGAGATTAAACTCAAGCCATCAGGCTTGACAGCAAAAGCCCTTTTACTTGCTGAGATGATTCACTGGCCTCCTCGGGCTTCTTTGTCTGCAAAATGGGAACAGTAATTGATACTGTGGGCCTTGGGGTGGGGTAACGCTTGCTCGATGACCACCGGGATGCCTGGCATGCAGTGTGGGCCCTGTGGCCCTGCAAGCTGTAGTGAGGAAGAGCTCCAGTCTGGCCTTGCGGTGGTAGCCAAGCATTGTGAAGGAGCCGGCGAGCAACCCCGCATGTGCCAAGGCATGGAGCTGATGGCAGGGGCTGCAGTGCCAGCCTGAAAGAATGGGTGGCACGGGAAGGTGACAGCAGAGGGAGCTTTGAGAAGCCAGTGGGGATGAGGGTGGTTATTTGTAGGCCAGTGGCAGAGGATTCCTTTTCCTCTTTGTCTTGGTGGCCCTGGTGGGCACTTGGCCAGAGGTCCTGGATGAGGATGTCCTGAGAGGTGGGGCGGGGCTTCTTCACCTGGCTTCCCTCCCACAAGTGTGAAGCACAAGCAATGCCAGCACCCCCGCTCCCCCACTCAGTTATCTCTCTTTATGCCTCACATCCAGGTGTCCCAGAAATAACACTGCTCAAGTGCAAGCCATTTATCTAAAACCTTTATTAATGCTTGAAGAACACAGGGTGACAGTGTCCAGGCCCTGTTGTCTAGCTTTGTAACAGAAGCAGACGCTGACTCAGTAAGCCCACGTGGTGCCATTCTTCCTTAGGAAGTGGATGCCAGGAGCACCGTCTCCATGTTGTTGCCGAGATGCCATTAGCCAGGTTCAGAGCTCACGCCTAAGGACGGACTGCAGCCCTGGGCCAGTGTCTCCTTTTTATTCGGTTCTGGGTTGTCGGCGTTCTGCTGTCTTTGGCCCTCTCGTTTTAGAATAACAGGGCTATTTATTGATACAAAGGAGAGGTGTGCGGATCATCTCGTTAAGATTCGAAGCTCAAAATAAACACTGCGACGTTATTTGGAGACCCACATCCTTCCGAACAGGAAGGCTCCCAAGTAAATGCGTACGAAGCATGAAGCCTAGGGAGGACTGTTCTCAACAGCTGCCTCGCTTACATTTAGACTGGGCGAATGCCTTCAGGAGGTACACAAGAACCTGGACAATTTTGAGCAAAAGGACTCTAGAGATAAATATATTCTGTGTTTCTAATCACATGAGGGACCGTGAAATGACATCTTTCTTTTTTTTTTTTTAACTTTTGGAGGGGAAGGGACGACAAAGGCATGGACATACACAACAGAGATCAGTTGGTGTGTTTGAAGGAAGCGAGTTTATGCCTTTGGGGGGGGGGGGAAGACACCGAGACAATAAATACAAACGACAAATATTTACAGCAGAAACAAACGGAACATCAGTAGGTGACTGCGAGACACTGATGAACTCAGTACAGACACTGGTGGCAAAGGAGCGGCCGAGCCAGGAACGAAGGACGGTGTGAGTGATGTAAGCAGAAAACAGTCAAGGTGCCACACAGGCACACCCAGCACCAGAGTGCCACCATCCCCATGCATTTTCCGCGGCAGAGTCTGGCATGCTGGGCCTCCTTCCTTGCAGGCAGGACCGGATTAAAGGCATATGCTCCTCTATGCTCTGCAGCCCCACATCTTCCTGGGGGATTCCCAGCGTGTCACCAACCCACCCCTCCCCAAATAATTTTTTTTTTCAAGCATAGCCTATATGAGAGATTGAGACTGGGTCCTGTGCATTGAGACACCAGCCGAGTTTGTGGATGTGCTCTGAGAACGGTGGCTGTCCCTGGCCTTAGGGGCCTTCCAGAGAGAGAGAGAGGGTAGGATGCATGTTTCTCATCCTGCTCCCTAGAACATGGAACATGCAATGTGCGGTCTGTGAGCCTGGGGAAGAAAATCTTAGTGGAACAGAGCCAACCAAGCCCTTCCATTTGTGTGGCGGAGGGCGCTTTTGTGCTGCCACGCCAGAGCTGGCTGGTGGCAACAGAAACCGTGTGACTTGCCGAACGGAAACTCACTAATCACTATTTGGCCTTTCATAGAAAAAGTTGGCCGAGCCTTGCTCTCAAGACCTGGTCCAGGTTACCCCCTATGCCTACAGCACTGGCTGTAAAAGCAGTAGCTGTGACAGCCCCAGAGGAAGAAGATCTTAGCGCTGCACTGACACGAGTCCCTTCTCTCCTCTTTGGCCTTCCTTTTGTCCACCCACCTCCTTCTTGCTAAATTTCCACGTGGGCTGTGGAAAGCCCTGTCTCTTGGAGATGAAGCTGTTTGCCCAAGTATGCAGAGGGTGGCATTCCCCAAAAGCAATTTCCTTAGTGGTCTCGATGCCAGTTTCTCTTCTCCCTCTTTCCGGCATGCAGAGACTGGTTTCCAACTTGGCCACATGGATTCAATGTACAGGCTCATAGGACTTGGTTGAGGTCAAGTTGAGATAGTGAAAGTCTAGAAAAAGGCTGTCAAGGAAGGGACCCCTGGTATGTGCTTCTCCCTCTGGGGATCTGTCTGTTTCGGAAGGAGAAGCCCATGTGGGGATACTGCTGTTTGAGCTCTTCTTAAAAGAGAAGTTATAAAAATTTACCCCCCAGAGGTGGGCTGGGGTTGATTTTCTTCCTGCTTTGAGCTGGTTCTGGTGACCCAGTTGTTCGATTTGAAAGTCATTTATTTAGATGCCAGACAAATCGTCAATGGATTTAAAACAAAAGTAAAATTGAGCTCTGAAGCAGTGGTCAAAACAGACGGCCACTCCTTTGGTGTCCCCCAGACAGAGCAATGGCTCAGAAATGACACACAGGTAATGCAGTACCCCATGTCCCTTCCAGCAGCTATGAAACACAAGGTCCCAGGCACGACACTAAGCTTTGGTTTGGCATCGAGCATGGCTGAGTCCTGCATTCTCTCTGCTCCTCCTTTGCCCTAACAGCCACACTTCCCACTCACTCCTGCCCCAGAACCCAGCTGCCCTGTTCCCTGCAGACAGCACTGGAAACTGTAGGGCAGGGCCTGCCTAGCACCCACGTGTGGCCCCTTCCCTCCCCATCTGACCTCCCCCCAACAGAGCACACCTTAGCCACCCACTAGCTCCCACAGACCGAAAGGGACAAAGCCACAGGCAGACTCAAGGCAACACTCCCGTGAATAAGCTTACGTAGGTGCCGACCCACAGGGCAGGCACCTGAGACCTCATCTCACCTGTTCAGACACCTGCATGAAGTCCACAATTCGCACACATCCTGCGTGTGACATCCCCTCTTTAATGTAAAATGTTTGGAATGTCCATAGATAAGGAAATGGACGGCCTGGAGGAAACTTTCTTGGCCAGGTTTTCGTTTCACCTCCGGATGTCGGAATACTCGGCCTGTTCATCTTCCCACTCGCTGCTCCCAGAAGGTCCCTGGGCGCTCTGGCCACCTGCTCCGCCTCGGGCGTGCGCATGTGGGTGGCTTTTGCTTCCTCGCTCACCCTTGGCGCCTCTGCTGGCTTCTGATAGGTGGTGGCCTGTATCCCGGTGGTGAGGCCTGGGTAGTTGGGCCCTATCTGCCGGGGGCTGATGCTCAGGGACCGCAGTGGGAGGTCTCTGTATGTTGGAGGTGCAGAAGCTCAGAATGGAGCACAGGCCTCCCCAGTTCTGCTCACACTGAGCCTGGACGCTGTGAGTGATGGCCTCCCTCACATCTTCCCCGCAGGTCAGCAGCAGATTCACGAGGTCCACATAGGGCCTAGAGATTAGAACAAAGAGAGAAGGACTGAGACTGGAGCATGTTCTAAGGGGCCCTGTGACAAGAGACAATGCTTAACTTGAGTTCGGTGAGTGATCTTTACGGACTAGGTTCCATGGTAGGGAATGGCATTAAGGCAGGTTCCTCTTCTCAAATAGGTGTAGCGCTACTGACAGTGTAGATACATGGGAGGAAAGCTGAAGGCCAGGGCATTAAGGTAGGCATTTCAGGCAGAGCAGCTGTGTGAGTGGAGAGGAAAGCAAGGGTGTCCTGAGCACACCCAGGCTACAGGAGCTGGCGAGCTTGACTGGAGTGGAGACGATCTTGGCCAATGGTGAAGGGTCTTCAATAGTAAATTGGTATGTGTATGCACTTCCAGTGAAGAACCCAGGAAGTGTTGGACTAAGGAGTTCCTGAGCAGCTGTCAGGAGTCCCCATGCTTGCCCATCACAGGTGGCATTAGTGAGGGTCTCCTGAGGTCACATTCCCTACCTGTGTGCCCTGACTTAGGCTTACAACAAAGGGCCCTTATGAAAGTTGTTAGGTATGTATGCCACGGTCTGGGGGAATCTGAAACGAGATGCGCTGGGGAGGGCCATGGCTCTATAGTGTCATCTCCCTGTGGCTTTCCCTTTTCAGTCAGTCAGGGTCCCCATGTCCACAACGAGAGCAGCTCTCTCTGAAAGCAACACAGCCCATTCTGGTCTCAGAACTGCATCTCCACCTGTACCAACGACCTCGAGTTGTTTCTTGGCCAAATTGCTGGAGGACTCACTCCAGGAGACAGAGAAGCGTGCCCCCTTTTTAAATTGATGGGCCTACCTACGGAGCCCCCCCTTAACTCTCACTGGCCTTTAAGATCCAAGAGGGTGTGGGATGCTTTATGTGACTTTGTGTGGCTAACTAGAATTAAGTCCTGGACAAATATGCCCATGACAGACAGCGCCTGCTTCCACAGGGAAATCGCTGTGGGATGTGCAGCCATTTATAAGGAGCAAAGGTTCTCTCCTCCCTGAGGTGTGACTTGAGACTTGGATGACCATCCTAGGGGTCTGTGTAATCTTTCTCTGCAGGCTGGCAACCTTGGCTCTGCAGAAGAAGCGGCTTATGTTCTAAGATGTGCGGCATAATCAATGCTGTTGTGGCCATTCACTCCCCAGGTTGGACCTGTCCTTACTTTGAGGACATAAGAATGAGGAATAGGGAAAAGGAAAGTCCCCTTTGGGAAATCCTAGGTAAGGGAGGCCTGGCCTGGGCTGAGGACAGGCAGAAGGGATGTTCTGGAGCTGCGTTTTGAAGCCTACTTGATTCCTTTGACATCACGGTTTGTGCATGGCTGGTGGGCAAGGCGCTCAGCCTCTTTCAAGCAGGTCTAGGCTGCTGCTAAGGACAGTGTCTCTTGAGCACTCGGAGGAGGAAGTTATAGAGAAAGGGATGCTGTAAGCTGTTCATGCCCCCTTCATACTTTGAAAACAAACGCTGCCTTAGGAAGCTCAAATCCACTGAGGCCATCTGCAAAATGGGAGCAAAATGTTTGGTCATTTGCTGGCTCTATCTGGGATTTCGAACTGAGTTTCCTTTATTCCTTTAAGTGTCTAGCTTAAAAGATCCTCCCAGGAACACACAGATCTCTCTGGGGTCTTCTCCATCATGGTGTGTGTCTGCCTTTGAACCCTGGACCTGTAAGATGGACACCGGCCTCCTGAGGCAGGACTAGTCCCCCTCTCCTCGGCTTGTTCTGTCTTCTCTCTCAGGGATGAAGCCGAGCCCTGTGGGGAGGGCGTGTGTGGCTAAGTAAATTAATCTAAGCCGGGCTTTGGGTTGGCACGGTGCCTTCTTAGGCTGCAGGCTGAGCCTGTCCGATGACAAAACCCAGCACTCAACTGAGTGTCAGCAAGGCCGAAGAAGGGGAATGTGTTTGAGGCTCCAAACCCCTGACGGCTGCCAGCACCCGGTGACAGGGTGTGCAGAGGCCAAGGGAGACTGGCCACAGCTAGGGGGAGGCAGATGATAAGGACAGAGTGGGGTGGGCAGGCAGTGGTGAGAGGGGCAGCTCGCGGCAGACTGGACCTTGCTGCCACCCCTGCTCCTGGCAGAAGCACTGTAGAGGAATGGGGTGGTTTGGATTCTGCACGGCTGACTTCCTCCTCCTTAAAGGGAAAGGCAAACTTGGCTCACATTCTCTTGTTTGTGACTGTTGCCACACACTCTGAGATGGCTTTCTCGGTATGTGGGGGCTGAACGGATCCTTTAATCAGTTAAGCTGGTTGAAAAATTGGGAAAGTTCAGCTTGAAGTCGAAGCTGGGCATTGCATTGCTGTGTGGTGCTAGGGGATGGAGGTTTTCAAGGAGCCAGAGCTTGGCACAAACTCAATGCCCAGAAGTCCTGGCTTAGAAGCAGGAGCAGGTCCCGCATGAGGCCTCCTGGCAGTGTTCTTAAGACACCCACACCTCTGCACAGGGTGGACCACCTGCTTCGGCAAAGCAGGCCAGTGTTGGCTGCTATTGCTGATTCTAAATGCTGTGGGAGACCCGTGAAACAAGAATCCCTGGCCTGGAGGCCACGTTCCTGTGGAAGAGGTACTAGACATCACAGTGCGCTAACCCTCCCTAAATCCTAGGATGGGGCATGTGTTCCCCAAACCCGAAAGGCTTCAGTTTTCCCAAAGACCTTTCTTCAGAAGATACTCATACTCCACACACTCCAGGAATGTATCACAGGTGTATAGCAGGCCCCCAACCTCCCACCTTGAAGACTAAAAAGTCCTCTTAAATATGCCACTGAGATAGAGGTTCCTTGGTTGTGAACACGTGCCTCTTTCAAGAGCACCTCGAAGGAAGAGACTCTCATAGTACTCTCTGGCGACAATGAGGGAGTGATTAGGGAAAGGAAGAAGACCTTGTCACATGAGAAGACTCCTGAAGTCTTAGCAGGTCTAGCAAGAACAGGAGGAGCAGGGCAGTTGGCATTCTGACCGCCGGCCTATTCCTCACAGCAAGTCTCATACACAGCTCCGTGCCTGCAGATTCAACTAGCCGGGCACAGATGGACGTTTCGGAAGCAACCTGCCTCTGTACTGTAGCAGACCCTTCCTGCCGTTATTTCCTAAGCACTGTAGACTAACAACTGCTTACATGGCAGCTGCTCTGTCTGTAGGTATCGTAAGTCATCCAGAGTAGATTACGCCATCGATTTATCTGAGCCTTCCTCATTCATGGATGTGGATGTGTAGGGGAGGCCCTTGAACCATCCCCTGTGGATAGTAAGAGACTAGCGTACACTACCAATTCCCAGGTCGCAAAGCGGGAACCAAACCTCACAAGGGAAGTTCTTAGCTTCACTAGCCTTCCCTATGAAGTGGAGATGTGAATTTCAATCTTGTGGCTGGTCAGAAGACAAACAGGGTAATCCATGCCCATGACCAAGGTTTTTGCACACCAAAGAGAAATAAAAGGCAATTACTATTGTCCATGCCATTGTTCCTTTGTAAATATTTGGAAGAATGAAAATCTGTTGTGAAGTATTAGTATGGTCTAAAAACCAAGCAATACAGTCTTTCTTTTGGAAAGGTCTGGTTGCAGAATTTCACCATGAATAATTTTATATTGTAACAAAGTGCCACAAGCTACTCAAGGCTTCATAACTGAGAGACGAGATGGCTGTCTCAGAATCTAGGCATTAGTGCCGTGAAGGGGGTATGTTTGGTAACATAACTGGGAGAAGGTCATGCAATGAACTAATGGGTGAAAGTCCCTAAAATTGTGCTGATTTGGCCCAATGAGTCACCATGGAAAGATGGAGGTGGCTATAAGGGTGGCAGTGGTTGGCACTGTCTACTATACTGGTGGCTTCCCTTTTTGTTCTACATCTCTGTCTTTGGGGCCTGTGGACCTCACTGCCATGTTAGAAACAATGGTGGATCAATGTCTTTTACCGCTCTGCAAAATCTGGGATCCTACAGCTGGGGTAAGAGCCAAGGAATGAGATGATTTGGCTCTATCATCTTCAAGTCCATTTTACCATGCCTATTTAGCAGACTAAAGTTTCCGCTGTTTGTTTTATGTATTCTGCAGAGTTAGAGAAGGGACCTGGGGAGCTCTGGAAGCAGAAAAAGCTGATTAGATTGGCACCTTTGAGAGCGAAGGTGCTGTAGCCACACTGCGAGAACCCTAGCACCTAGCTTTGCTTCTCCCTAACTGTGAGTGCTTTGTGCTTCACCACAGCAGAGATCAGTTTTCTGTGGTGAGAATTTGGAGGCATAAAGGGTTGATGTAAGGAACGGGCGGACATTTCATGTAACACACCTGGCCTAGTGCCGAGCACCTACACGCAGGTAAATGTTAGTGTGTACCGGCTGCTGTTCTGACGCCTGTGAGCTACTTGGATCACACAGCAACCAAGACTTGGCCGTGGGGAGGATGGAGAATGCTTCTGATAGTAGATATTTTGTACTTAGTAAAAATGTTTCTGTTTGCGGGAATTTCAAATTTGATGAATTTCTGGGGGGTTTTCTAGCTCTATGGGGCACACCACAACTGTATCCACTTGAAGGGAGTTCACCTCCAAAAGTAGCGTCCTCAAACACATTTCCGGCCCTCAGGACCCCACCCTTGCCAGGCGACCCTTCCTCCCGTTCTCCTGGGGATGGGGGTGCTACTCACTCGTGCAGCAGGAGGTCCTTGAAGTTTATCATCTCCACCATCACGCCGATGTTCTCCTGCGCCGCTGAGCACAGGTTGTGCTTGAGGTAGCATTCCCTCTGCAACTGGAAAACCATCTCCTTGATTGCCGGACACTTCCTGCTGATGCAGCCAAATCTGTGCCGCAGGGCATGGGCCTTGCACTTCAGGGCATCCTTGATGAATGACTTGCCCTGAGGATGGAGGACACAAAAGGGAGGGGGCAGAGGAGACAAGGTTTTGTCACTAGCCAGGATGGCATGTGCCAGTCTCAGGCTAGCACAGGGGTTTTTGATCTCGGCGTAGCGAGGCTGTGCTTGGATTGATGTGGTTCCAGGTGGGAGGCGACGTGACATTGCTGGCATCAGGCCAGAGTGGTTGTGAGCTTTGTACACGGACAGATCTGCCCTTCTCTTCCCCAGTTGCTCTTCTAGTTTCCCTGGAATTGGGGTATCCTCCGGGCAGCTGGGAGGTGACTGCCTGGTAGAAAATTCCCCGAGATTGGCCCTAGCTCCTTTGCCAGTGTCAGCAAGAGTACACTTCTTGCTCACGCTCCATCCTGGGAAGCAGTGCTCTTGGAGCCTCCCAGTTAGTGCCGGTGCTCCAGCTCATGGTCTGTCACCTCTTTGCATGCTTCCAAAAGGAACATTCTTTGCTTTTAAACTGTTAGGATTATGGTCTCTAAAAGGTCCCCCTGGCATCTTGCTTGGCAGCATGTGAGTGGGGCAGAAGCATCAAGTAGCATCCTCCCCACTGTCTCAGAGGGGTGAGGCAGCCAGGCAGACATACATGTGGCCCACAGTTCTCCTTCCTGGCACCCTTAGCCGATTGTGCCAAGGCCAGAAGGAGGCAGTTGTCAGGATGTGGGGGCAAGCTCCCAATTTTACTCTTATCAACCTCCCTGGCCTGGAGGCACTGTTGGGTATCTACCCAGGAATCTCCCTTTAATTTCCATGGAAACAGGCTGTCTCAAGAGCTAACCTTTTTTCTTTTCTTTTTTTCTTTCTTTTCTTTTCTTTTATTTATTTATTTATTTTGAGGCAGGTCTGGAAATCACTGAGTTGAGAAAGTGAACCAGTTCAGGTCGGAGGTGGGAAGCCAGCCAGTATGTTTGTTTATTTTGGTTTTCTCTTTAGAAATGTCTACAGATAGTGTCTGATGGTTGAAGACCCACGTGGCATCCATGTCCACCCTGTGGCGCCCCCTTTTCTTTGACTTTCTAGCTGGGAGCCAGATGGGCTAGGGCGGGGCTTGGCACTTTATTAAGTAGTTACACACTGAGAAGTGACTTGAAAGGGATGTCTCTAACTTGAGAACATTCTCCTATTGGCTGAGAAAACAAGATGGATTTATGTGAAGGCTGTGGCAATCTGTTTTTTTAGTATTCTTCTCTGACATCCTGTGGGAAGGCCCTTGATATGCTCCTCTCTTCCGGATTTCCTATTGCGTGGCCTAGCTCCAATTTAGGGAGCAGGGGGGCGGCACGTTTTTCTAAGGACGGCAAGGAGTTCAAAGTTCTCCCTCTTCCCTCCGTTTCAGCTTCCCCTCTGCTACCTCACATCCTCCACTGTCGAGGCTGCCACCCCGTCACGTCCCTCTCTGGTTCCCAGGCCTTGCTTTGTGAGGCTGTCCACAGGATGTCAGTGGACGGTGATGGCTGACGTGTCTAAATCACACCTCAGCTGTTGGCCTCCTCCAGACTTAGTCATCAGGCTCCATTGAAATGGGAGAGGAAATTTATGAGCTATACCAGCAGTGTGTTTGGACAGGGCCGAGAACCGGGGCAGAAAGCGGCGATGAGCCCCATGCTACACGCTACTGAAACACACATTCTATGCCGGAACCACCAGCTGGCTTATAGGTGGTTTACCCTGAGTAGCAACTCAACTTTACCTTGGCAATCTGAGGCGGATTCAGCTCTGGCTATAAGGCAAGCGAGATTCAGTCAGGGTTTGACTTTTGGGGTTGGGAGGGGAGACTCTCTCTGCTCCTTGCTGTTTGGAGGCCGTGAATTATCTATGCGGCCTGCCCACATATACACTAGAAGAGCCTTTGCTACCTACAGCAAGGGTCCCTACCTCTCCAGCCTTCTCTTCCTCATGCACTTTTGGGGATGGGGTTCTGGTTGTGCAGACACTGTGTTTATCACTGGCTATGACTTCGATGTCTAGCCTACTTTGCCTATGCAGATACAGTGTAAGGATTTGAAAGGATTTGGCCCAATGGCAACTTCAGGAAGCAAACACACTGGTGCCCTTCTCTACAACTGCAAGCGTCAAACTGCCTCAAATAACAGTACGGGAAATGGGTTAGCAATCTGTCCAGCCAGTATTTCAGCCATGCCACACCAACCGGAGTATTCTTCATGCTATATGCTTTACCTGGGCATCGAATTTTCCAGCATTATGCAGAAAAGTCATGCAAATCCCATGTAAGCCCCGGATTTCACAAGAGTTGTTCTCGAAACATTCAAACACGCCACACCCCACGTCTCCGGCGTTGACCAAACAGTGCTGGATTTCCGCTAAAATGAAAAAAAAAATTACAAGTTTTCTGCCATGCTAACAGTAAGGGCTAGAGGAAAACTAAAGGGGAAAAGGGTGTGCCAATTTCAGAATCGAAGGAGGTGAAAAAATAGAATGTCATTATTTACTACTACTTACTGAAAAGAATTGGTATTTTTTTTGTAAAATTAGCCAAAAAATAACAAATATCACAGTCAGAAGTTAGGACAAGCATTTTCCCCTCCCTCTTTCTTTCCCACTTTATGAAGGTATATGTGAGAATACTCAGTTTAAGAGCAGAAAATATTTCAGCTTTTGAAACCCACAGGGAAAAGTAAGATTTCCAAAAGACCGAATTTCATGAATTATACGGCCGCAGAAGCCACTGCCTTTAAGATCCAGCTATTTCCTTCCTGACCCCAGACGAAAGCTTCCAAAAAGCAACTTGAATTCAGCTTTATGATTCAACACCTAAAAATCAAAACAAGATTCCTATTAAAGCCGTGTCTCCAAACCACCCGCATTAAAAAATGCCAGGCCAGGGAGGCTGCGGCTGGCAACAGCCTCAGCATGGAGGCAGGTGGGGGCTGGCCTTCCACCCGCCGTCATTCACTTTGGAAGTTCCTTTTAATTAGGGATCTGGTGTGAGCTATCACTTAATCCCCTAGAATCCCTGAGGCCCAGGAGCGTGCTACCTCTTCCAAGATGTCCTAATTCGTCAGCCTGAAAGGACAGAGGAGCTGTCAGGCTGCGGGAGTGCAGTCTCATGCCCTCTTGGGCTCACTCAGTTCCACGATTTAAACCAACCGCAAAATTACAACTAGGAAAGTGTATTTTGGAAGAAGGGCGGGGCTGGAGTCGAAAAATCTGTATCAGATGAAATCTAGCGAGAGAGTGAGGGGCGTGTATTTGTGGAGGGGCACCTAAACCCTAGAGGAGGCAGGGCAGGAGAGGGACCCTCGACTGCGCGCCTGGGCAACGGGGCCGGGGCGGGGGGTGGTGGCAGAGAGAGGCTGGACTAACTCCACGCGTGGCCACGGACAGGACAGCGATTGCTCACTTGGGCGCCCCTGACCCTCATTTGTGTATTTCGACTCAGGCAAGGAGCGCACGCACGCCACGGCCGCCGCGTTCACACGGCCCCAGGGGAATAGCGGGAGTGGGGGCATAAGCAAGGAGCCAAGCGGCAGACACGTTTCTTTTTCTCCCGGGAGCTGGGAAGAAGGCCAGCCCCGTGTGCCGCACGCCAGGCTCGGCGCTGCTGCTTGCCGGTGAGCAGGGCGGGCGCACGATTTGGGTCGTGTCAACATTTCTTCCCTTGCTGACCTGGCTAGGAGCAAGGGACCATGGAGCGTCACACAGGTACGCTTTGCGAACTCCCTCCTCCCAAGGAAAACTTCTTGATGCCATTTAACTGGCCAGCAAAGTTCTGGGATGTCCGGCAATCTTTAAAGGAAGGAGAGTCAGTCCATGCCAGACTTGGAAGAGAAGTTCTCTGAGCGCAGGGCGAGCCCAGTTCCGGGGACCCTCGGGGCCCTGCACAGGCTAACCTGGACAAAGTGCGTCTTGCTCCGGGCCTGGCAATCTTGCTGGAGCTGGCAGCGCCAAGCGCTGCCTCGTTTCCCCTCAGCCCTGGGGGAGAGCAGCAACAAGTCCTGCCTCAGCCATTTCATCACCCTGCTAGCACGTGCGGATTCCGGGCGCTCGGAGCCCAGCCCAGCCCTCGCTTCTCTCGTTCTTCCCTCTGCAAGTCCCGAGCCACCAAGAGTTTGCGCTGCTCGGGGTGAGCTCGGGTCGCTGGGTTGGGGCTAAACGCACTAGGAGCGCTGCGGGCGTGCACCGTGTTTCCTCCCCGCAGCTCCCCGCTGCAGGGCGCACGCGTTTACCTGTGTTCTGCAGAGACAGACGGCCTTTCTGCTGGGAGCTCCTGTCTTGCGGACCTTCCGGAGGGTTCGTGGCGTCGGTCCCCCGCGCCGGGTCCAAGGTGGCAAACACCAAAGCCAGGGTCACAAACTGGCTCAGCCGCTCGGCACACATGGTTCTGGGTATCACCCTCCCTCCGGGAGACCTGGATTCTTTGTGCGCCCCTCCTCCTCCTTTTCCTCCTCTGCTGCTTCCCCCCTCCTCCCACTCTTCCTCCCGGCTCGCCCCTTTCCTCCTCCTCGCCGCAGCTCGGATAGAGGTTACCCAGCGCCCTCCCGTAGCTCTCCGGAGAGCATGTGACCAGGCCGTTAGCAGAGCCGCGAGTGCCCGGCGATGGCAGGGATGGTGCCTCAAATATCCCTGGAAGCTCTGGTGTCACTTGAATGAAGGAGTCGAGCAGGTGTTGTCCCGGAGGCTGGACCAATCCGAGACCCCGGCCCGTTTGACAACACAGCCGGGAGGCGGGGCCTGCGCCAACTACTATGGGAGGAAGCGGAGCGCCGCGGCGAGCACCCCACAAAGTTGCCGACCTGGCGCCGGCCACGCTTTTGCGTGCGTGTGTGTGAGCGCGGCCCAAGATGCGTGCGCGTGTGCGGGTGCTCCGGGGCAATGGCCGAACGGACTGAGGAAAAAAACCCAAAGCGGATGCCAGTTCTAGTTGCAACGCGAAAATTAGGGGCGGGGGGGGAGGGCTGGGGTGGGAGAGAGGGCGGGGAGGGTCGGTCTTTACTGGGACCACGTCCGCAGGGGCTCGCTTCCGGCTGAGAAAGTTTTCTCTTTGGAACTCAGTGACATTGTCAGCCCCGAAGCCTGGATAGATTGGAACAGATACCTGGGCACAGAGATGGTGCGAGCAAATTGAGCTCCGATGGGAATTCCTAAGAGTCGTTAGGCTTGGCGTTTACCAAACAGGCGCTTAAAGACAGGCTGCAAAACCCTGAAGCACTTGGCCCGAGAGACAGTCCACCTCCCACTTATTTCTGCCGGGATTTGGTGGGTCCTGCAACACCTGGGGCGTCTTGTCTCGCCCCTCCCCCAATCCAGACGGATTCCTGTCTGGGCTTCAGGGATCCAGGTGACAATCCAGACTAGCATCATTTCCTGGCGGGTCGCTAGGAGGCCCAGGCAGCCTTGGGTCAGGCGGCCGCGGAGCATCGCGTGCTCCAGAAGCCAGAGTTTAACAGACAACTTTAGGCATCTCCAAATACACGCTTCCATTTTTTCCTAAGCACCTCTCTGCCCAGTTGGAAGGTTCCCTTTATTCCTCAGCTCTCTGATGCAAAAATAAAAGCAAAAGGTCCCAGGTTCTGGGACATTCTCTCTATACCTTCTTTCTCTTTTGGATCCCCCTCCTTAAGCATCCTGGGAATCAGATCGCCTTCAGCTGCTATCTCCCCTGCTGGAGGAAGCAGGGAGAAAGTTGGGCGCTGCTGGGAGCGCCTCTCCCCCCCTGCTGTGTGTGTACGTGTGCACGCTCACGTCTCCCTCGCTCCAGCCCCGGGACAGGAACTGCTGCTCTTGGCCTCGTTAACCCGACGGCTTAGTTCGGGGGGCTAGCTTGGTGGGGGGAGGGTGGAGAGGCGAGCGCTGCCACCTAGTGCCACCTGGCCCTCATCCGGTATTGGCGCTACTTGCCCCTCCCCCTCATTCTCACCCTAGTCTTGGAGAACAGGTGAGCCTGGGTACCAGCTCTCAATCCACGTCCTCGCCGTACTCCCTGCTCGCCCGCGCACTCTGCAGTAATGCGCCTAGGAGGTTTCATCACCCACCGCCTGCGGCGACTGCTACCCTGGGCCTCCGCACCGAGGCGCACTCTCTGACTCTTCTGCGCCTACGTGTGACACGCCTGAGGGAGGGGTTTCAGAGATGGGCGCCCAGGTTGTCTGCCAGCTGCCCGCTCAGTTTTCCTGGGTGCCAGCTGCCTTCCAGCGAGGAGATGGCGGAGGCTGGGGCTCAGGGTGACCGCCGCTTCACACTGGAGAAAGGAAGGGAGGAGGTGGGAATGGACTTTCCAGGGGCAGAACCTCTTGGAGCTTTTGTTCATAGTACCTCTCCATCTCTCGGGGCCCCAGAAAACGGTCACTTTGAGTGTCTTAGTCTTCGATGGTGGGAAGAAATTAGCCACTCATACCCATGATTTTAATAGCAGAAACTTCCTCGCTCATTTTTTGAGGAAGGTGGTGGATAGTGGGTATAATGATGGGTCATCCTCATTGACCACCTCGCTTGTTTGAATAGTTAATTTAGCTTTATTAGTTTATGAAAAGAAACCCTCCTGGACTTCCTTAAAAACAAAACAAACAAAAACATGTTGGCCTGTGCCTCCCCCCCCCCCCCTTAAGGCCGAAAATTTTCTGGGAGAGTCAAGCAGACCTCAGCCTTACTTAACTTTAGAGCTGGACAGACCTCTACGGCCTCTTCCACGAGCGAAAGTGGCACCAGAGAAACAGAATCTGGAGATGCACAGCGGTAGCAGGAAAGCCAACTTGTCCTGTTGCGGTGAGGCACCGCACCTGTCCTCAGAGAACCTGCGTGGTTTTAAAAAACCATCCTGAGGTTTTCAACTCCAACTTTCAAGGGAATTTCATGGTTCCCATCTGAGCCAATTGCTGCTTTAGGAAGAACACCCAGTGGCTGGATGTATGGTGCTGGGAGCGCACATAGCACCCATGCTTGAAGGTTCCTTTCGGGACCAGCTGGCCAAGGCAGAAGCACAGACAAGGGTGTTCTTTCGCCCATCTTACCAGGGCTGCAGACTCTCTGGGAGGTTTGCTGGGCGATGCTCTGGGCCTTTGGCCCAGGGCAGAACTAGGCTGGAGAAGGGCGGGGCGCACACTGGAGCCTTTGTCGTGATCCCCTTTCCCCTGCAGATTCCCTTAGTTCATCAGTCCCTCAAGCTGGGTTTGGCAGAGGAGTGGAATGAGCTGGGTACAGTAGGTGACATAAAGCCAGCGTGAATCGAGCACAGGTACTGCATCACATATCGAGACTGACACTTTGGCGCCTCTCTAAACCTAATGTCCACCTTAACAAGCCTTGGAGGAGCAAGGGTGGGCCAGGCAGTGCTGCACCGTGGTTCCAGCGTCTGTGGACAGTTTGAGACATGTAACTGCGGAGACAGATCTGGTCCGTCTGTGACACCCAGACTTGTGTGATGAGACCCCCCCCCCGCCCCTTTCCCTTTACTGTCACCCTCAATCGTGTCCAAGAGTGAGGGTTTTGGAGAGGGAAGTGTTTGGGTTGAAAGCTAGGGAAGGGAATTGCCAAGTGGAGGCAAGGGAAAGGATGTTTCTGTGTAGGCAAAATGCACTGAGTTTTGTGTCAGGAATGAGTTGTCCAGTTTGGGGCTAAAGAGGGAGACCAGGCTAGCTAGATGGCTAGTCACGTGGTAAGGCCGGGCCATGTTGCCAAATCCGTGTTCACGGTGGAAGACCTATCATCCTGCTAGGTATTTAGAGACGTGATTCAAGGTGCTCTTTGACTGGATTTTTCTTTAGGATTCAGAGAAAGCTCTGGGATGGGTACTGGCATTTTGGAACAAGACAAAGGGAGTGCAAAGGAATGGCTTGACCCCTCCAAGTGGGGCGTGGTGTCCCGCAGGACAGAAGGTAACCTTGCTCCCGTGTGAGCATGTGGGGCCCTAGCAGATGGGATCTTTCTAGCCCGCGGAGGCACTGATTACGAGTTGATGCAGGTCTCTAGTGCAGGCTTCTTGAAGGTTCCACAGGCCGAGTGAGGAACATGGCTTTCCTGGGAGCTCCGCCCCCTGCATACCCTAGCCTATTGGGGCAGACTGGCTGGGCTTATGGCACCACCTTATGGCCAGAAGGGGTACTGTCTGACCAAATAGTGGACTCTATTATTCTTCCACCTGGTCAAGGGCCTGTAACACTGGGTGTCCCACTGTCCCTTCCCGTCACAGTTTCCTCACTAGCTCACCCTGGCTCAGCCAGCTCCCACAGGGGTATGATTTAACTCCATGCCTGAAGAAGGACATCTCTTCCAAACGTCTTGATTTCCCATCTTACGCCTGTCGTTCACAGGTGCATTCTGTGCACCCTGCTTGCTTCATACTTGTAGGAAGGAAATCTGGACAAAAATGGCTAGAGGTAAAACTGGACCAAGTGACAAACTGCTGTGTCAGGCTCCCCAGATTCTCATAAGCAGAAGTCTCCCCTAAAAAGCCTTGATCCTCCCCTCGACCTTTCTCATTGGTCGCTTTGTCGAGCAGGCTTCGTAATGAAAGGAGACTAAACCTTTCACGTTTGGGTTAGTTCATGAATAAATCTTAGGAATGTTTTCTGCTCCTTTTTTCCTGTAAAAGCTCAAGTCTTCAACATCTGAGTGAAGAAGACTTTGGGTCTGGCCTGGAAACCAACCACTTACAATATTGTTTTAGCTGGGCACGGTGCTGCAAGCCTTTATTCTCAGCTCCTTGGGTGATGGAGACAGGAGGATGGCTTGAGGCCAAGAGTTCATGGCTAGTTTGGGTGGTACCGTGGGGAAAATGATGGTTCCTTAACCAGCTTTCAGAGCGCTGGAACACAGCACACTTGGGAACTCGGCACGTCTCATCAATCAGTAGTCAAGCAGTTCATGGATTGGCCAGAAATACAAATGTTACAAAGGAATTTTTTAAAGTCTCAGAGAATAAGGACACTGTATCCCTCAGTAGATCCATTTACTGGAATAACCGAGAAAACAGTGAACATCAAGTGTCTGCCTGTGGGCTGAGCTGTGTTAGGACTTCATCCCAACGCCTGAGCAGTACCCAGAAGCCCTCACTGTTTTCTTTGGGACATAACTTTTTCTTCCTTCTGTGTGCTGAGACAAACTCCGGGAAAAAATATCCCAAGCAAGGGGCTGCCTGGCTTTCGCAGCTGAGGCCAGTAGGGACACTGTGATGCTGGGGTGAGGTGGCGCTCCTTCTGACTGGGTTTGGAACTCTGACTGAGAAATGCTGAAATTTAGAAAAGTCCTTTTTGTGGGCTTGTTTTCCACATGAACCTGACTTTGGTAGTCTTCAGTAAATGCTGAATTCTGTTAATGCACTTTAACCCTCACTGTACCCCAGGAGTCTTTGAGGGTTTTCCTCTCTCTCTCTCTCTCTCTCTCTCTTTCTCTCCCTCTCTCTTTCCTTCTCTCTCTTTCCCTCTTTCTCCCTCTTCCCCCCTCCCCCACACAGCGGTTCTATTTTCAAAGAATGCTATTTCATGACTTTTGTTCATTTTTAGAAGTCTTCCAGAGACAACATTAAAAAAAAAAAAAGACAGAGTGAAATTTATCCTATCTTAAAATTACTCAGTAGAACCCTTGGCAAATCTATGGCTCTCTGCATAAATCATGGGATCTTGAATTTAATTTTTTTATATCTTTGACATTTTATCATGCTGGGAACACTTTAATTATTTTCACCAATTATTGTCAGTTATGGTAAAAATCTCTGAAGCAGGAAGCCATGGAAGGATGACGGAGGCATCTTGAAAGCTGATGCAGGAGGGCAGAAAGAAAGCCCTGCT